CTTGGAACCATGTACTCCCCTGCTACCCACCAAGTCCTCCTGCAGTCCAGGCAGAGTCCAAGAACCAGCTGTACAGTCAAAAGGCAAGGAGAACCAGGGACCAGGAGGCTCAGGCTCAGGCCCACCAAGTTCCCCAGAGTGCCCTGGGTTGGGACAGCTGCTGGAGGAGCTGCAGTGCCAACTGATTCTGCCCCAAGCCTTTCCCAGGAGGAACCTAGTGCAGGAGTGCAGAGATGCCATCATAAGAACCCTACAAGGCTGCCATGGCTGCGTGCCTGACCTTGCCGTGGTGCTCCGAGGGTGCCAGTCACCTTTACCTGGTGAGTCCACCTCCTGTCCCCTCTCCTCCTCTTTCACTTCTTTGCTGTAGTTCACCTGCTCTCCATGCTTCTTTCTTCTGTGCCAGAGACAAAGCCTAGGGTTCCCGAGAGACAGAGGACAACACCTTCTGGTGTCAGTGTTCCTGAGCATGCTCCAAGGGAGGGGAGGCAAAGGACTCAACAGGGGACAAAGAGGCTTAACTTCGCCATGCCTCATACTTGCAGCAGCAACCCTTCACACAGGGTCAGCCTGGTGCCACCTCCAGATCACCAACCGCCAGCATTCCTGCCCTCGGTATCTTCACCATCTGGGGCAGCTTGGGGTCCCCCAACAGCTTTTGATATGCTGAAAAGCATCTGGCTCATAGCCACCCCACCCCCACCTCAGTCCCTACCTCAGCCACCATCACCCTTGTTGCCCCGAACATCTGCCTTGGACTGGAGCCCCGACCCTCCTGCCCCACTACTCAGCCTCTCCTGGGTGGTGACTCAGAGAAGTCCAGAGGCTTGGTCCTTTCCCCCAATGAAACTCTACTGAGGAGACTATGGGTAGGGTTGGGGGGCAGGTACCCCATACTCCCAGTCACCTCAATAAAACACCTTCTTGGTTCTCTTGATTTTCAGTGAGTGGCTGTCTCAGGAAAGCAGATTTTATTGTTTTGTTTTTTATTTTTTGGTATTGTTTTGTTTTCTGAGACAGGGTTTCTCCGTGTTGCCCTGGCTGTCCTAGAACTCACTCTGTAGACCAGGCTGGCCTGAACTCAAGAGATCTGCCTGCCTCTGCCCCCAGAGTGAAAGCAGCTTTCTTTAGTTCTGAATTCTAAGGCCAAGATGGAGAAGTATATCACTTGTTACCTTGCTGGAGCCTGATGAACCAGCAGGAGAGGGTGCATGCCTTTTAGTGCTTGGGGTGGTAGAGACAAGAGAGAGTTCACAGTTACTCTTTGTTTGAGCCAGCCAAGACTATGAGTACAGTAAACCCCAACAAAACAAAATGTAACAACTTTCCCTTCTAATACACACAGTAAATCAATAATCATCCCAAGAGGTCGCATGGTAAAGACCTGATGTTCCAAGTTTTTCCGTGCATTAATTTTTCCTCCTTCTCCCTCCCCCTCCCCCTCTCTCTCTTTGTTTTTGTTTTTTTGAAACAGTCTTCCCTATGGTAGTCCTGGTTAACCTGAAACTTGCTATGTAGACCAGACTGGCTTAGAATTTGGGGCAATCTATCTCCGTCTCCCAAGTGCTGGGATTAATTGCTTGTGCCATGTCTCATCCCAGGAATTTTATTTATTTGCCATTTTGAGAATGTAATTTAGGACTACTTACATGGTAAGCAAATATACTTGCTTACCATGTAAATATCTCCAGCCAGAAAGCTTTTTGTTTGTGGCTCTTTGTTTTTTGGCTTTGGTTTTTGGAGAAAGGGTTTCTCTGTGCAGTTTTGGCTGTCCTGGAACTCTGTAACCAGACTGGACTCGAACTCACAGAGATCCACCTGCCTCTGCCACCTGAGCGCTGGGATTAAAGGCGTGCGCCCAGTGACTCTTTGTTTTTAAACAGATTCTCACTATGTGGCCCTAGCTGGCCTGGAGTTCAGTGCATAGACAAGGCTGGCCTTAGACTCACAGAGAACTGCCTGTTGCTATCTCCCCAGTGCAGGGGTTAAAGGTGTATGCCACCATGTCTGGCCAGAAGGCTTTCTAAATGGTATTTTGAGCAGCAGTAATTTTCTGCAATGGAGGGTGAAGGATACAGCTAGGAATGTTGGTGTCTGAGGAGAAAAATCAAGTTGGACTCTGATGCTGGAAGGCCTTCCCAGGGCTGTCCTTGCCCCGTGGAAAGGGATAGGATTAATGGTAGCTTGGGAGGGAGGCGGAAACTACACTGGGAGATAAGGAACCTGCTGTCCTGCCCTGTCTTCTGGTGGGGAAATGGCAAAGCCAAGATTTTCACCCCGGCATCTGGAGTACTAGCTCCTGGGTATCTCACAACGTCTGGGGTTTACACCCTAGGCGTGGGGGCAGGCAGCCAGGAATGGTGGTTCTGG